AGGAGAGGAGAGGAGAGGAGAGGAGAGGAGAGGAGAGGAGAGGAGAGGAGAGGAGAGGAGAGTGAAACCCTGTTAAAAATCACACTAGAATGGTCAGCTGAGGATAAAGGCCTCTGCAGCACCATGAAATAGGAATAAGAGGTACTTAGAATGCTATCTTTGAGGTAAGAGCTGCCCTTCCTCCCCCCTGCCTTCAGGAATGCATTCGCTGGTGCTCAATGAAGCATTGCTAGCTGTACAAAAATAATCAGATGCTCCCTATGGAAAGAGTACTGGGAGTCTTCTCATTAATGGATCTGCTGTTTTACTGTGGTCTATACAAAAGATAAAAGATTTAAGAATATCTGTTGCTCACCAAAGCAGGCAGATGGAATCCTGCTTGCTTCTTTTCTATTGGATCATCAGATGCTGGAGTATTTTGGGTTATATCTAACTCTTTCAAAATGATGTTTCAGATAAATCACTGCCCTTTAGCACTCCCAGTGTGGTACTTGCCTTTCGACCTATTTGGTTTGTTTGCTTTGCTTTCACAGTGGACCAAATTATACCATTTTAGTCTGGAATCTGGTTATTTGGGGATTATTTTATCTCCTTGTGTAAGGCTGTGGGTCTTGAAGAGGAAGAGCAATATCAATCAGGAAGAGGCCATCCAGTGATGTGCAAAGAGAGAAGAAACTGAAGAGCAGCCAAGGAGATGGCAGAAGGATCATGTGAGTGCTGAAATAACCACGCATGTGTTATCTCTGTGCCTTACACATGTCAGAGGACTGAGGCACCTCATAATGAAACACAGCAAAAACATTATGAAAGCTTTGGCATTTGATTGCTTCAAGAAAGAAATTCTCTAAAGGCTGAAAAGAAAGGTCAGTGCTGACATCTTAGGAGGATTCCTGTTGCCTGGCTTTGATGCCGTTATCACTTGCCCGGCCATGGATCTGACCTGGGACACAGCCTGCAGGATGATGAAGGACACTTCCAGAGGTACAAGGCTTGGCCTCACCATACGCAGAGCAACAGCACTGTGAGTCTTGTGAGCAGCCACAGCTTGCAATCCATGCTGAAAGCTGGGCAGATCAAAGCCTTTTCTAGATCTCATCCCCCTAGGGCACTAACACTGCCTCTTAATGTTTGTTGATGTCATCTCTTTATGGGTTTTTATCTAGAGAGGATGTGGGTAACCACAAAGACTTTCAAAGTGGAAGCTGCTCATGGGAGCGGGGGGTTTTTGGTAGTTGTCAGTCTCTGTACACACAGCCTCTGTCTGTGGTGTGGCAGCACAAAAATAGTTTGTCTTGTGTAGTCACACTGCAACATCTGAGCGTTTCCACATCTTCCTGTATTCCTTTTTGCTGCCATGTTCAACAAGAAAACACTCTGTTCTGCAGAAGAAACCAAGGGATGGCACAGCTGTGGCTTGCTGATCATTATGGCATGGAGGTCTGGGGAGTCACTGAACTCATGACTCGTGGTTTTGCTTATTGCTGGTTCATAATGTAAGAGAGGGCAGCAGGGGCAGGAGGGAGGCCCCCATGGGTCAGCCAGCACAAATCTATACCTGAGGAACATGCAACCACATGCACAACCCAGCAGTGCCTGGCAGCTCCTTCCACCTCCACCTCCCTGCTTGGAAACCCGTCAGAAGGCAGCAGCAGCGCTGTTCCTGCAGCTGTGTATGACTTGTCCTGCTGTAAATCCAGGGGATGATTTGCTTTCCCAGGGCAGAACTGTGCTCCAGGCAGACCAGCGGGTAGATTTGTGAGCACGAATCCCACAGCGGCACCCACAGCTGATGCAAAACGAAGCAGACAGCCACAATATTTGCAGGTGACAATGGGAGCCCTTCCCCCTCCACATTTGGCAGCGTGCTCTGGCAGGAAAGCCAATCTGTTTGCAGTGACACAGACATCCCAAAGCCCATACACTGCTGCACCAAGGGATTAAGCCCTTCACTCTTCAGTGCCGCCGTACTGATCCCGGCTAATGCAGTTCTATGGAGTGTGGGTCAGAGAGTGCCCATAAAGCTGTTTATTTCACTGATAACAGCTCAGCAGTCTCTTGTTGACACAGCACTGCTCTCTTCCATACTGCCTGGAGGGGCAATTTCCCTTTGATCACCAAATCAGTCATGATGCACGTACACATGAAAAAATATATTTATATATATAAAAATACATATATGCACAGATATATACATATATACACACACACACATATATATATACGTATGTACAACTATCCTTTTAAGCACCTTTAGGAGAATCAAAGCATAAAAGCAGATTCTGCCTATCGCATTAAAACGTGCGTCTAGGAGCCTTTCTTTTACTGTTTCTTAATGATGGCTCTAGAGGTATTTCTGGCAGATAAATATGCAGCACCTAACAAGTGCAGATTACACGGTAATAGAGATAATTACTCTTCCTCTAGCATCTCATTAAGGCAGCGGGGTCCACCGCAGCCCGGTTCCCATCAGCATCGACCGGGCAGCGCCCCGGGGAGCCACGCCCCCTCACCTCGCCGCCGATTGGTCAGAACGGCAGAAGGAAGGCACGAAGCCACGCCCCTCCCCGCTTCTGATTGGTGAAGGCGGCCGAGCAGCTCGGAGAAGCCACGCCCCCTCCTCCGTCTCCTCTCTCCCTCCTGTTCCCCCTGCAGGCCCGGCGGCGCATGCGCAGTGACGGCGGCGGCGGCGGCGGGCGGCCCCGCTGTTGTTATTGTGGGGCTGGGCTGCGCCGCGCGAAGATGGCGGCCGGGCAGGGGGGCGGCGGCGGCGGCGGCAACGGCGGCGGCAGCAGCAGCAGCGGCGGCGGCAGCGGCAATAACAACGGGACGGGGGGGCTGGGGATTCCCGCTCATCTCACTCTCTCCTTTTCGGCCGGACCGCACTGGGGGGCGGCCACCCTTCCGCAGCCTCACACGGTGCGCAGCTTGGACCGGGCCCTGGAGGAGGCGGGCAGCTCGGGCATCCTCTGCCTCAGCGGCAGGAAGCTGCGCGACTTCCCGGGCAGCGGCTACGACCTGAGCGACACCACGCAAGCAGGTGGGGGGGCGCGACGGGGGGGCTCTGCCGGGCTGCGGTGGGGCGAGGGCGGCGCGGGGCGGCGCGTCGCTGCGGTGCGGGGCACATCGGTGCTTTGTTACGCGGCGATCACACCTGGGCTGTCCGTGCGTGAGCCCGCGGGATGCGGTGCCCGCGGGATGCGGTGCCCGCGGGATGCGG